TGATACAATTTTTTTGTGTTAAGTGCATATACACACTTATATAGGTGGAAACTAGATAATTAAATAAAGACGTGTGTAGGGAAAAAGGAACAAAATAAAAATCTGGTGATTTGTAAACGTCACGTAGTGATTGATTCACCAACTTAACAGCTTTTTATGACTTAAGTAGGTGAAAAATTGGTGAGAATATATATGAGTCAATTTATCTCTACTAAATTAGTCAAATTAGTGGGTCCTAATTTTGGAAGTTTATAGAGTTTGGTATGTTGTATAATCTGTGTAAACGATCGATATGGCCTCAAAGTCCAAATCTTACGTAAAAGACGTTTTAGTTGGCTGACAAAGATTGCCCAACGTATAGTTTACACATTCGTATAACATAAGCTCACATACCATAGTGTTTAGGTGTTAACATTACATTCACATACTTGAAAATTCATTCACTGAGTCACTGCCTTTCTTTGTTTGTTTTATTTTACTAAGTAACGATGAGTCAACGGTATAACCTAAGTACTTTTTCAGCCGAAGATAACGAAGCGGGAAAGAAGAAGCCTAAGTTACAAGCAGAACCAACATTACCCATTTTTCTCAAGGTAAATATATGCTTACATCAAAGCAGAAGAAGAAAAGAACCAAAAGAAAAACAAATGGGGTTGTTACAAAGAGATATATTAGAACATTTGGATTCAAGTAGTTAGTGTTTTTTATATTGCATATGGGATTGATCTCTTTTGGTACTGATCTTCTCTGTTTGCACAGGCACTCAGGGGCGGAGGTATGGTAGAGGCATGAGGGTCAATTGACCCTGATAAACTTTCAAATTTGATGAATTTTTAGGAAAAAAATCAAATTGACCCTTGTAATATAACACAATTGACCCCTATAATTTTTTTTTATAACACAATTAATCATTATAATTTGTTTTTGACCCTCATGATCCGATTTCCTACCTCCGCCACTGCAGGCACTGAGAGGAGATCAAAAGAATAGCACACATTTTTTCTACTTTTCCATCAGGTTCTAGTCTTGTACATGATCTCATCTTACATGAAATTTATGTACAAGACTTCAGATCATATCCATACATATAGTTAAGATTAGACAAAGGGGGGACGAAAGTGTAATAAGATTTCTGAAAATAGGTTTCATTTCATGAGTGAAGTAATGTCTCAAGACTTAGTGGTGTTTTTCTTTTTTGTGAATGTGCAGTTCAGGGATGTTACATACAAAGTGGTAATAAAGAAAATGACTTCATCTGTGGAGAAAGAGATATTAAGTGGGATAACTGGGAGTGTGAATCCTGGTGAAGTTCTTGCTCTCATGGGACCTTCAGGGAGTGGCAAAACTACTCTTCTTAGCTTACTCGCTGGTCGGATCTCACAATCTTCTACTGGAGGCTCTGTTACTTACAACGACAAGCCTTACTCTAAATTCTTGAAAAGCAAGTTAGTATTTTTTGCCCTAAACCCCTCATACTCTTCTTTTTAGAATACACATGGAGACTAAACAATTGGTTCTTGGTTTGGTGGTAGGATTGGGTTTGTGACTCAAGATGATGTTCTGTTTCCTCATCTTACCGTGAAAGAAACGCTAACCTATGCCGCTCGTCTGCGCTTACCCAAGACTCTTACGAGAGAGCAGAAGGAGCAACGAGCTTTAGATGTTATCGAAGAGTTGGGTTTGGAGAGGTACGTTGAATCTTTCAAGAGGTTCCAACAAAACAAAAAAATAAATTGTGGTCTATATTTTAATAACTTGCGTGTTTGTAGGTGCCAAGACACTATGATTGGAGGAGCATTCGTGCGTGGTGTATCAGGTGGAGAGAGGAAAAGAGTTTCTATTGGAAATGAGATCATCATTAATCCTTCTCTATTACTTCTTGATGAACCAACCTCTGGTTTAGATTCCACCACTGCTCTTAGAACCATTCAGATGCTCCACGACATCGCCGATGTTTGTTTGTTTCTTTGCTTGTTCAGACAATTTGTATGTTTGCTTTGATTTATTTTTTAATGAATCTTGAGGATGTTTTTGCAACAGGCGGGGAAAACCGTGATCACAACGATACATCAGCCCTCGAGTAGGCTCTTCCATAGATTTGACAAGCTGATTCTACTAGGAAGAGGAAGTCTTCTCTACTTTGGAAAATCAGCAGAAGCTTTGGACTACTTCTCTTCCATTGGATGCTCTCCTCTTATAGCCATGAATCCTGCAGAGTTCTTGCTCGATCTTGCCAATGGTAACATCAACGATATCTCTGTGCCTTCTGAGCTAGATGATAGGGTTCAAGTTGGCAATTCAGGCAGAGAAACACCAACTGGCAAGCCATCTCCTGCTGCAGTCCATGAGGTAATTATAGAAGCAACAACATTTCTAGCAAATGATGATTGCCTGGAACCAAATTGAGCTCTGATATATATATCGAAAAACTTGTAAGCAGTATCTAGTGGAGGCATACGAGACTCGTGTTGCAGAACAGGAGAAGAAGAAACTAATGGATCCTGCACCACTTGACGAAGAAACTAAGGCCAAAGCTATGCGTCTAAAGCGTCACTGGGGAGCGGGCTGGTGGGAGCAATATTGCATTCTATTCTGCAGAGGACTCAAAGAACGGAGACACGAATACTTCAGCTGGTTGCGTGTCACACAAGTTCTTTCCACAGCTGTCATTTTAGGGCTTCTCTGGTGGCAGTCGGACATTCGGACTCCAAGAGGACTACAAGATCAGGTATGTTGTTGTCGTTTGGTTTAACATAAATTTCAGTATGATTTGCTGCAATGAAGATGAAACTCTTATGCTTCTTTTTCTTTTTGCAGGCCGGTTTGCTCTTCTTCATAGCAGTGTTTTGGGGATTCTTCCCAGTTTTCACAGCAATCTTTGCGTTTCCGCAAGAGAGAGCGATGTTGAATAAGGAGAGAGCAGCGGATATGTACAGATTAAGCGCATATTTCCTAGCTCGGACCACAAGTGATCTCCCTCTCGACTTTATTCTACCTTCCCTCTTCCTTCTCGTCGTCTATTTCATGACAGGTCTTCGTCTCAGCCCTTATCCCTTCTTCTTGAGCATGCTCACAGTCTTCCTTTGCATCATTGCAGCTCAGGTATATTCAGATCGATATAATTATTAACATTAATGAACAATTATAAAGTGTAATCAAAACACTGATTTGATTGTGCTTTCTTCTCTTTGCTAGGGACTGGGACTTGCTATTGGTGCCATTTTAATGGATTTAAAGAAGGCTACGACTTTGGCTTCAGTAACTGTCATGACGTTCATGCTCGCAGGAGGATTCTTTGTCAAGGCAAGTCCTCTGTTTCTTGATTTTCCTCTGTTTTTAGCTTCCTCTGTTTCTTGATTTCCTCTGTTTTATTGATTTTCTTATCTTTCCTTTTTTTTTTCTCCTCTTCACAGAAAGTGCCTGTATTCATTTCGTGGATACGTTATCTATCTTTCAACTACCACACCTACAAGCTTCTTCTTAAAGTCCAATATCAGGACTTCGCTGAATCCATCAACGGGATGAGAATAGACAATGGACTAACTGAAGTAGTAGCACTCGTTGCCATGATCTTCGGTTATCGCCTCCTCGCGTATCTGTCTCTAAGGCAGATGAAGATCTCAACATAACTCGTTTTCCAACACGAAGAAATAACATAGAAGAAGCACTAAGACATATAAAAGAGTGCGTCAGTTCTTGATGATCTTGACACGACAACCAATCCTTGACAACGATTAAGAGATTGGTCCTAAGATTATTCTTGCTTAGTTACAGAATTTACAAAAAGTGTTTATGAAGTTTGATAATATGATTGGGTGGTGAAAGATGTCTTGATTGGAAGCGATCTGTTTTAGTTTGTATTAGTAGATCGAATCTAACAATGGTTCATGTCTATTAACCAGACGAACCTTATGTTTTGATCAGATCTTTTTAAGTACCAACCCTGTTATGCATTTTTTTAATGGTTATATGCATAATATTAATATTATTGTAATTTGATATAATTAAACCAAAGTCAATACAAAATATGAAGCTAATATTGTTTTAGTTAATACAATAATATAATAAGATAATTATATTCCGGACTTTTTCTGTTAAAAGTATTGCAACCATATGTTTTCGCTCGCAGATGAAAACAATCTTTACGATCCCCACTGCGATAATCACTTATGCTCTCTCGTTATGTCTCAACCAATTGTTTTCTTTAGAGATAAGTGAGTGACTGATATAGTAGTACGTTTTCAAAACAAACTTTAGAAAGTAGTATATTCACCCATTCACAATTGTAAATGTAGTCATTTTTTAAATTATTTTCTACTATTTCCAAAATTTTACAACCTTCACAAACACTTCATATTTACAAGTTACAGCGAATGCTACTCATTCCTTGTTGCAATCCACCTCTTATATATGCCTCCATGAATCCCTCAGTTGATACAAAACCTATGAATACTAATCCAATGCACTTTCAATTGCTTTAGTTTGGTTAAAGTAATAGCTTACATAGTTCCATTTACATGTTAAAAGGGTGCTATTTATTATATATCTTTTACTATATATATGATGATTAATAACAATTTTGCTCTAACTATGGAAAAGTTAAAGAAAGAGCATTCTGAATTTTTGATACTGTACATTTTTTTCTTCTTAACTCAGCCCCAAGCATATGAGCTGATCGTTAACTAAAGAATTTAAATAGAAACAAAGAATAATGAATTGAATCAATAAAATGTTGGTAAAAAAAACAACATGTTGGTTAGTTTGCCATAATTATTGATGATATCTTAACTTAAGATTTGCTAAGATATGCTCTTATATAAGAAGTGATCTTAGCAAATCTTAAACAAAAATATGTCTTTACCACCAATAATGGTGGCCTAAGGCGTAGATTACACATAGCTGGTCGTTCAACCGTAAATTTGTTTGAAATCATTTCATTCTATAAAAATTACAATGTAAACAGTAGTCAAGAAGCTCTGGCAAGTCATCAGATAGACCGAAATATATTTTTTAACTTTGTTACATAACATAAACCACGTTAACTTGAAATTCTTACATATGTTTCATAAACATAAACATTAGTTGGAATAAGAGGGTAGTAGCAACCCATCATTTTTATTCACTAATTTTAACTTTACTTAAAACATAACCCAAGGTCTATTCACCAGTTCAAATCTTATAAAGATGCGTTGAGACGAACCGAAGTCCTTGATGAAGGATGAGCCAAAGATGATTTGCCTGATTACAGCCAAACGATGGTATAAGGACCAATCTTATAAACCAAGGAAACTCATTGTCCTTTTTCAGGACACAAGTTCTCCTCTCTCCGTTTGGCTGAAAGATAAGGGACAAGACAAAAGACCGGTGAACCAACCCCAAGTCTTGTCCCTATCTCTTGATCATGTATTAAGATTGCAGCAGCCTATATCCATTGTTGCTGCATTCCACTTGAGAGGCATGACCATGCCACTAGGAGTATAGACTGACGAACTTAGAAAGTAATCCATACTTGTAACTTCGGATCCTGAGAGATTTGGCATGTTTGCTTCCCTCGACGAGTTCATGGTCTTGTTTTCCGGATGAAAGACTTCAGAACTCTGAGAATTGCTCGGCTTAGACTGCTTAGTTGCATCAGCTTTCTTGGTGTTCAAGAAACGCCCCCCAGATCCTCTAGGACGGCGCATAGCATGGAGATGGCGTGAGTGATGAATATATGGCTGTGACATCATAACCTAAGTCAACATTTTTCGAGTGAGTATTGAAATCAAATACTTTCAATAAGTTACCTTACGGCATCTACTCAGTTTTTCAGCCTTTGCTCTGGACTGGCGTCGCCTAATAATTCCATGGTACTGCTTAGCGTTCACATAGATGGTACCATCCTCTTCTGTATCCATCTTAAGAGGCAGCATTACTCGGCCCGAAGACCTCTGAGATCCATAGGCTGAAACAACTCCATAGTATTGTTCTACATGAGGATGCTTTGTGTAGATCTACAATGAAAACAAAACACAGCAAATACTCAGGAGTAAAATCAAAGGATTATTATATAAATGGTTTTTGAATTTTTGGATGTTCCACTGCAATACCGTTGGCCGAGCAAAGCCAAACTCGAAGCAAGCTGATTGCATCGTGAAAGCGACATGAGGCTTTGGCACATTTTGTGAACTCTTTCCACCACCTAAGTCAAGATCAGACAGAACATATAAAGTTACTTAAAAGCATTTGTATTCATTCTATTATGTGCAAGAAACAGAGACGTATTGTCTTCTTGCAAGGTCATTAATTAATATATGTTAAGGTTATATAATTTTCCACTAAATTAAATAGAGAAGTCAGAATTTCAGTAAAAACATTTCAGAAAGCTTCCATTAAGGAAAGTTAAGAGTTTACCAGGTGAGAGAGTGAAGAGAGTTGTAGAACATTGTTTATCCACCACATCTTGTTCTGTCTCCGGAGTAACTGCCTTAACTCCGGCGAATGCATCAGAAGCGTCTCCGGAAAGGCTCTCCGTAGTCAACGGCTGAGATCCAAAAGCATTCCACCAAGGAGTCTGAGGTGGCGACAAAAGTTCCTCAGTTTGCATAGCTTTATGTCCAAAAGTCCAACGGAACAGTGAAAGAGAGCCGCAGGTAGATGCTGCGGAGTTGAAAGATCCGCTTAACAAGATTTTTCAAAAAAACACATAAGTCAATAACTAAAAGACCTTTGCCCAAGGATAGAAAACTCTAACAAGGAAAAAACTTCAGACGAACCCATCTGCAGACCACACTCAAGAAACAGACTCTATTGGTCTTAAAAGAAAGAAAATTTGGGAGAAGCTATAAAAGTAACTAGACCCAAAAAATCAAATCGACAAACGAAACATTAATGTCCAAAAACAAAAAAAGAGGATGAAGAGATCAAATAACAGAACCAAATCTTACAAGTAACAGTCCAAATAGGGATAAGGAAAATAACATAAGCAGAGAAGACTTACACACAAGAGAGAGTGAGAAGCTTTGAGATTCCTATTAGTTGGGAGCCATGTCGGTTCCAAATTAGAAACAAAGATCTACAAAGAGAGATGGAGAGAGAGAGAGATGAGTGAACAAGTGTAATAGAAACAATAGCTTCAGCAACCAATCACCTTCAACTTTCATGCGAGTATTTTTAATAAATTATATATAAATTTTTCCTTTAGTAGGTGACATCAGAAACCAAAAAAAAAAAACAAAAAAAAAGCAGAATTATTGCTCTAGTTAAACTGTAGCGTTGGCTTGACGTGCTCTCTCCACAAGCTACAATGATCCCACAACACTTGATAATCATTTTCATACCAATCTCCATCAACTAAAACAGTACTGCGTTGTCGTCAAGTTTGATTTTTTTTTTTTTTTTTGTTCCTTTCTGATAAAATAGAAAGAAACTTCGTAAAAGGGCCAACAAAAACATAACAAAGGGAGAAAAAAGTCGTTTTTTTTTTACAGTCTTCTATTGTCAAATTTAAAACTCGGGTTCTACCAAATTATTATGGACCCGACTTTTTAAGCCCGTTTTATAAAGGGCCACTTGAAGAGTATAAGATGTTGAAAATATTAAATCGGCCCATCAAATTTTGACCCCTTTCAACAACACTCATTAAAAATTTTTAACCTTATCCTAATAATTTTATTATGTATATGCTCTTTTACGAAAATAATAGAGGGTATCAAAGAAAAAAGGAAATAAAAAGAAAGAAAGAAGATGATGTCTTTCTATTTTACTTCTCAGATACACAAAGATATATTTCCTTAACACTTGTATGGACTGTAATTTGGTTTATATAGAATGAAAAAATGATATAAGAATCTATTAATCTAATATGTTTTTGTTCCTCCAACACATCACATACAGTATAACCTCTATAAATTAATACTCGATAAATTAATACTCTCTATAAATTAATAAATTTCTCCAATCCCAAGTTGGGACTAGTATAATTTTGAACACATTTCGATAAAATAATAAGATAATAATTTTTTTGAAAATCCTTTTTAAATATATGGTCCCATCAATATTATAAATTAATAATTAGGCAAAATTTTCAAATTATATGTATATATAGACACATTAGTTTTTGTTAAAGTTTATTTTTACATATTTTTTTGAAAAAACTTTCCAAATTCGGAAAATCTCTCTATAAATTAATAATTATTAATTTATCGATAAATTAAAACCTTTATAAATTAATAGTTTTTCATGGTCCCAACATTATTAATTTATAGAGGTTTTACTGTATATTCATACTTATATACTTTAATTTAAAATAAAGAAAATAACAAGTCATGTTATGAATTAGCTTTAAAGATTAAAACTTGTTTCTTTTTTCTTGTTTTGGATGAGTTTAAAAATTAAAACTATGTATGATGTATGATAATCTTATAACATAATACGATGCTTTAATTTATAATATAGAAAAAACTTATGCTTTTAAATTAATATGGATGAGTTCTTCAAACTGCAAGGAATTAAAAGACACAAACATTCGGTTAAAATTAAGTTGACATGACAAGTTATTATTATATAAATTTAACATAAACCAAAAAGAACTTGACCAACGACATTAAAAACTAGAAATATGAGTAAGAAACAACGATAAAAGAAAAAAAAACATTTATTTTGATAAAATGAGAGACACATGTATTGTCATGTCTACTTCGAGGATAGCTTCACTCGGCATCATCTTCAGCGCCACCAAAGGCCTTGCTGCTCTCTCCGTTAGAGGTTCTGCCCAAGTCTTCATCAGCATCAATTGGTTCTATGTGTTGGTCTGATCTAGTGATCATTGTGGGTAAACAAGAAAGCCTCCAATCATCAAAATAATAAACACTTGCAGTTCTGTCCCACCCGGCAGACGAAACATTAAAAGCCCTCAAAGTCGCTTCTCCATGAAATGCCTCGTCGAAGCTCACATGATTAAGATGTTCCATAGAACCCATCTTTCTCCTGAAACTCATAATTCTTTTACCGGTATATGACAGCAATTTATCAATTTCGGTTCGGGAAAGATCAACAAGTTTACGACCATGGTTGAGTTCGGACATGAGATTATCCATCTCAAACTCCTCAATAGCATCCCTAGTATCGGCCATTTTCTTCTCAAGCTTTTGGATATTGGCCTGGATGAATGACTCCGGGTCAGCGGCCTTCTTGTTCCTTTCATGCTTCGCTAAAGAATAGTAATTGTTAATGAGTGATTTTGCCTCTGGGGTAGATGGCCAAACCACAACCTGATCTTCCTCGCGATCAAACACCACGAGACAAGCTTTTACATCGCAAAGAATTGTGAGCTCATTCGTTTTTTTGATGAGTCCAGCAAGCCTCGTCTTAATGTTAGCTCTTCTCGCTCTCTGGTTTGCCCAATTCAAGGTCACTCTTCTTCTTCCCATTTCTTATGTTTATTTTTTCTTTTCTTTTGTGTGTGTTTATAAAAAGAGATCATGGTGGTCTTATATATAGGAAAACAAAGGATAGTATATAAGGAAAGTAATAAAATTTTGAAACTGCCTCCTCATGTTTTGAGTCAAATAATGTTGAATGAATTTTTAGGCAGCTTTGTAAAAACAAAATAGGATTATTGTTTTTTTTTTTCTAGAGTTATCCCTTTTTATTCCTCTAAGTATTACCATACTAGGATTTATCCCGTGGTATACCACGGGTCCATAATTTAATATATTTGTTTGGTGGATATTTTTGTAGTTGGTTTATATAGTCTAGTTTTATATGTGTTTATTTCATTTTATTTTTATATAATTTTATGAATTTGTATTATAAGTAGATTCATAGATATATGTGGTCAACCTGCGGTATACCACATGACGATTTCGTTGTAAATAAAAAATCATATTTTAACTTAATCCGTAAAAGATTTTTAATATATATAACCCATTGAAAAATATAATCATATTTATGTAAACTCAAACCCGTTCAATTTATAATGGTTTTGAACTGTTATCTAAAATTTTATACCTTATGTAGACGTTTTACATATATTTTTTCCTTTATCGATTGAGTTATATGCGTCCGTTTTCAAAATTTAAATTTCAAAATGTGTGAAAAAATTTGTATTTTTATTATAAATATATGTTATGTAATAATATAAATTAAAAACAATAAGATCATATAAATATATTGGAGAGGGATTTAACTTATTAGAGAGATATTTTAGGAAATTTTTTAATGTAATAAATATTTGTTTCCAATTTTCTTGTGATTTAATTACAAAATTTACTTTTAAATTTTGTTATTTATTCAAATGGCAAGGGTTTGACTATGCAAATATTACAAAATAAAAGGTTATAACTCAAAATAGATTTTAGTACAAAATGTAATTCAAAAATGTTAAGATAGATATATATATATATATATAATTTTCTTACATTAGGTATCTCAACGGTATTTTAAGTAGTTATATCATTATTGTTTTTTATTAATGATTTTTTGTTAATCTAGCGTCTTAAGAAAGCTTAGGTAAACGTCTAAAACATTTTTTAGAACATTGGTTACAATTTAGAGGCCAACATAAACACTATTTTCGAATATTTACATGGGCCGAAAGCAAAGTCCATTTCCTATATGTTACTTTTTTATTTAATCTAATTTAATAATAAGAATAAATACATTTTTGTATGCCAAAAATAAATGCATCCCGGGAAAAGTGTTGTTCCTCATAGAAAATAAAATTAAGTAGAGGGAATAAAATATTTCATAACATCATAGTTGTTTGTAAATACATAAAAATCCATATTGTGAGTTTAACTGAATTCGTTTTAAGTAAAAAATATCTGAAGACTGTAGAATATAAATATCATGATCGATTGTCATCTTCTATATATAACAAGTTATAGTAAAATATGAGTAATATATGGGTTGCTTACCCAGAAAACAAATGGTAGGATATATCAACCTTTTAATTTGTGGAGAGAGGTGAACTCTTTTGATCAAATTAATGATCCTGCATGGCTGCATAGGCGACAACAAATACTGTATGTTGTATTAAACTATATAAAACAACAAATAATTCTTCATAAGCTAGATTATGTAAATATAAATTAAAATTTATAGAAATGTAAAGATAGGGAAACTTTGAAGACAAATAAGATTTCAGAGCAAACAAAAGAGGATGCTATGTTGATGCTACGTTGCTGAACAAAAAAAAGAAAAAAAAAAAACAATGATTAGGAAATAAGAGATATTTGGTAAAACACAAAGGAGGGAAAGCAATTGCAAAATCAAAATGCATCATTTTGTCCAGAAAAACATGACAAAATAGTTCAAGAACTAACGTCATCACCTCATCCGATAACAACAATACATATACTAAAAAGGTATACGAAGAGAGTTTTGTTTTGTTTTTTTAATCATTTCATAAACTATTTTATAAATTTTGAAAAAGAAGATGCTGATTTTGATAATTGTTAAAGATATTAGATAACTACGTACCAACTCGAAATCATGTATCGACAACTATATATATGTGTATTATTGTCTAACACTAAAACACTAACAAGCACACACAAACGTCAAAACATGCAATCCATAACAATACGATCTCTAGTTATAATAACTTTCAATACATCTCACAAAATTAAGCACTAACAAGCACAAAAAACTTAGAACATATTTTCCCAAGTACACAGAGTATATATATATCTCAAAGAAAAACTTGAATTATACTAAACATGTGATTAATCATGAATTCTATTACTATCAAAAATATAAATTTAAGATAATTCATAATAAATAAATAAAAGAACTTATCTAGATAACAGTGTATCATGTCATTGAAGAGAGAATTACTCACCATGAAGTGATTCTAAAAATCGTCTAGTACGGAATCTTTTACAAGAAGTGATTGGTCTAACATAAAAAAAAGCAAAAAAGAGGGGT